CAGGTCGACCTCAAGACTTTCGCCAGGCAGCGAGGGGCAGGTTGCCGTTGGAGGGCTGGGAAAACGCCGTAGAAAGGCGTGGTGGGAAGCGAGATATCTCCCCGCTTAAACTGGGAGCTGATTTCGGATCCAACACTCAACAACCGAACCCGCAAAACGCGGCGCCTTCCACAGGTGCCTCAAGATCTAGCGTGAACGATGCTTGAGTCTCCTCGGGTGGTGACCAGACAGATTGGACATTGCGTGAGTCGTGAAGTGTAGATGGTAGCTGGGAGTGAACGGGGTTGTCCCACAGATAGTCGTCCAAAGCGTCGGTGGGTTGTGGCGGTTGCTGTTGCTGATGCTGATGCTGAGGACGAGGATGGTGCGGCTGCGGCTTTTGAGGTGAAACCACCTGAAGATGCTCCTGCTGCTGATACGGATCGATCTGGGGTTGGTGTTGGGGCATCTCTGAAGTGTAAAATCTATGCAACTGCTGTTGCTGTTGTTGCCGCACAGAAATCAGCTGTTGCAGGTAGTGCTGAAGTATCGGCTTCGTCGCTACCGGCGGGACGCTTTCGAGCAAGTGGCGAGTCTTGTGCATACTCGCCAGCAGGGACGCCTGGACTCTGCGCCAAGTCTGCCAATCGTGGTTCATCGCGTGGTCGCTTTGGTGGCAGTTGAAAGCTTTTATCCAGCTGTTTAAGCTGCAACTCAGCTTGCGGAAAACTCCAATGCAGACCTCAAGCCCGAGCCAACACAGGAGAAAGCGTTCCCTCTGGCATGACTCGTCTGCCGTCCCTGTTCGGCTGCCATACAGCAACGCCATGCTGTCCAAGATAGATTGGACTGTCGTCACTGCTGTATCCCATTCGCCTGCCGTGATTACCGTCCGCTTCTGGTCGGCCACCAGACCTTGTAGTTTGGAGCTGCCGTGGTGCGGTATTCGCAGTCCGTTCGCCTGATTAGGTTCGTAAACCATAGCTTCTGTCTCATGCTTCTCCGGAATCAATCTCAGATAAAGCATCTGGAACAAGAGCTGCCGAGTTTGTCCAGTCACATTGTCCGTGTGGCTAAGAGCTTGAGCTTCCATGCTCATATTGAAACGTTGACGGATATTCGCCATACTCGGTGGCATTGAACGTATCTGGGGAGTCTCGTCAATGTGGGTACCGTGGTTTGTGTCAATAATACATGCGGCCAAGAGACAGATTTCGGTGGTAGCAACGAACGTACTCAACCGCGAGGCATACACTGACTCTGGCACCATTTTACGATGCTGGAGATCATACTTACTTGACAAAGAACCTTTTTGTTGCGCGCAAAGTGCGGCATTAGCCGGCCTCGGTTCCATGGCAGACAAGAGGATCGTTGGGGACAAGCCGGACACAATGCGACTGTATAGCGAGAATACGACGCACGTCCACCAACAAAAGTTTACCAGTTCGCTCTCGACGTCCTCCTGAGAGATGGACCCGCGCCGGTGTGCAGAAGCTAAAGTCGGGGTATTGGCTGGATGCTGCTGAGAGCTTTGAAGGGGGTATTCTTTGCGCAAGTTTTGCGCGAGTGTCCACGCCAAATGGATTATCCCTTGCATTTCTTGCATGTTCTTTGGCGAACCGGCTGGTACTAGCAATCGCTGAAAGATGACGATAAGGAGGGTCTGCAGCATCTCGAGCGATAAGCAGGCGTCGACACGGATATAGATCGCTTCCAGGGCTATTGAAAAGGCTCGCTCGCACTCCCCGTTGCATTCGGTGGAAGAATGTGGAGCCGCAGACTCGTCATCCCTGCATGTGCCGATCGCCTGCCGCCAGCACGAAGCCGCGGCCAACACAGCCAAAGTGAGAGGCCCCGGGGAGGACTGCGTCGCTTGCGATTTGTGGAAAAGGGTTTTGTTCACCAGGTAGGAGAGGGGATGGAACAGGAAGAACGTCTCAATAAGTTGGAACGTCTCCGCTCCGTCTAGAGTCTTGAGATCCTGCTGTGCTGTTTCCCAGTTATGAGGGCACGGCGAGGTATGTGGCATTGGTTCGAGCGTGTTAGATAACTCTTCACCCGAACTGTGCAGCTCCGGGGAGGTACGGCAGACCGCTCTGTTCTTCTGCGCCAAGTCTAGGTGAGGACGAAGCACCACGCGGAGCAGCCGTCGGGACAGAGCCAAGAAACAAACATGATGGTGTCCGCCACCTGGAACTGAGAGGGAATTGGGCGACCAGGTCTTGCGCGATTCCGTCGGCATAAGCCAGGGTTGTCGCGAGTCTGGGGAAGAAAATGCAATCATATCGGGGATGCTCCGGAAAAGATCTTCGTCGCCAGAGTCTCGGACCGACAACCGGGGACTGGCGTGCGGTATTGGCAAACGATTTGGTGTGCCTACTGGTTGGGGACTAGGAAAATCCGCAACAGGGGAGGTTGTGGTGGAGCTGGGAGGAGTAGACTCCAAGATACTGCTCAAGTCAAGGTCAATTGGCATAGCAGCATGTCGAGGATCAGCGCGAGGAGTACGAGTATGGCCAGATCTCGCGGTGCGGCCGTTCTGCGGCTTCGAGCTTGGGCGACCTAGCTTCTGTCTCGGAACATAGATGCATGTTTTTGAAAGCACTCGACATCGATCACATCCTTCAATTTGACCTAAAAACGTTGTGCGCGAAACGGTTAGCCATCTGACGTGTCAGCAGCAGGCAGAATGTTCCAGTTTTCTTGCTGGTTTACTCAAAGCCAAGATCCTCACAGGAGTGCTTAGCACCTTTCGCCAATAAGAGTAGTTTGCGCCCATGTTCTACACAATTTGGGATGTCTCATGCCAGCTTACCACTGCATCGAATTTTACGCGCACGACAAGCCTGGCATGCGCTGCGTAGAGGGGGACCGCTGGCGATAGTTGCTCTTCCCGACGAGACACAAGCGGTAAAGAAAGACGAACAGTTGGCCGTCATCGTTACATTAAGGAATATGCGCAACTCGAGTATGCTGTCGTTCTAGGAGGAGGATGAGCGCGACGGTCGTCAGTGTTGTGTGCAAGGGCCTGCCTTGACAGTGGAATTAACTTTTGTTGAAAGTGAGCGTAACCGCCGTGGGGCATCTGGAGGGGGGCGGGGGGATGCAACAACTGGACGTCACATTTTATTTCGTTTCGCTGGCCGCCCCAGCTATATACGCCTTCCAGCCTTTGGTCTTGCGGGAGCGGCCAATTTCCTTCGATCCAAGCGAGCCATTTCGACGTTGGCTGTCCTAATGTGCTGATATTGAGGGGTTAACAAACGCTCCAACACGTAGTAGTTGTAAGGACCAGCTTTTCGGAATATCGGAACCTTGGGAGGGACTGCGCTTCCTAAGCACATGGTCTGCTTGAGGGAGGGACTGCGCGTCCTAAGCACAGTGTCTGCTTGCGTAAGCGACTTGGGTGCAGGCAGCAGTTATCCTCGGGTTGACCGAACACCACCTGGCAACATCTTGTGTGCTTCGCCTGTCCGCTTCAACCAGGTTTCATCTTCTTCAGCTGGCGTATATCCGGCCACCGGCTGCCACGATTCGCGTGTAGAGCTCGTTCCAGGTTATGCATCGAAATGGCGCCTGAAACCGCGTCCCAGCAACTTGATCTGTTCCTCTAGTTTCTTTCTCCTGCTTCGGTACGTCATCTGCAGGAGGCTGGGATGTCGAGGAAGTGGCTGGCGGGTAGGAGGTGGTCGCTTCGAACGATGTTGACCAAGGCGTATTCGAGCATGCGCTCATGACACAACAGGCGACCGGGTGCCGCGAGTCCAAATAACGCAGGTCAAAGTCAATTTGTGCTTGGACAACTGTATCCAACGCAACACGTATAGAGCTCGGTAGGTGTACCTATGTGTCAGCACAAAGGAAAGCTCAAAATACAGGTCAAGGGAGTTTGCGTAAAAATCCTTTGGCGATTCTGTTGGATCCTTCCGCATGAGGCGATGCAATCACTTACCGTCTCCTGAAGTTCCATCAACGGTGATTGCGCTTGCTCAAATCGGAACTCGACCCGCCGCAAATCGAGCGCTAACCCGACCCCAATAGCTTTCACGTAGCTCTCCTTCAATGCCCAAAGCTGTGCGAATCGATGCAGCTTCTGCTGCTCTTGAGTCAGTCGCTCCCCTTGCAGAATAGGGTTAATATCAGGTGCACATATGTCAGCGCGACCGCTGCAACTGCTAGTACGACACGTCTCAGAGCATTTTGGCAGCGTTTCTCTCAGTCCTGCAGAGCTGTCGAGTCTTCCATCTCCGTCATGGTGACTGCGGCTGCCGTGAATATACGCCCACTCTGCCTCGGTAAACACTTCGTCGAAATCCGCCAGATACTCGTCTACGGGTTCGTCCGATGGGTTGTCTACTGACGATACGTCAACTCCCAACTGCTTTGAAAAGCCCGCGGCTATTACAACCCAGTCTCCATGGTGCGACACGTTGAACTGTAAGAAAGGCACGCGTGGCAAAAACTGACAATCCAGTTAGCAACGGCAGTAGAGTGGTCGAGTACGTTTGACACAGCTCAGATAGAGTAGACTGATCCGCAAAGGGTTGACACAAGGTACAGACTTCGATATGCACTTACTAAGAAGGGTTTTTCATGCGCATCTCTGCTGATATCGATGTCGTACCAGCAAGAATGAAGTGACAGATCTGGGAAGCTATCTTGAGAAGCAAGGAGGGCGATTACTGCAGTACGTGCCAAAAGTTGACCAATGAGAGCTCTACACGCATCGATCCGGAACCTGTATCGCTTGACCCGCTCTTGCTCTGCTGGAGGCAGTAGACGTAGCAATTGATCTGTGAACTACCAAATAAGAGGATTTTGCGGAAATCTGAATGAGTACGCGCATGCCCTTGTGAAGTCAATGAAGGACAACAAAAGGCAGTACAGCAAGCGGATGCGGGAAAGGATCACTGTTAAGAGGTTACCTTGTCGCTCGGTGACCATGATGGAACGTAAAATGACCAGCGCAGTGTGCTATCTCCAACCCGGCTGCTCGTATTATGAGTCGATACTGGGATCATATTGTTGGTGAGAACTTGAAGCTGAAGACGGAAACTTGCCACATTGGATTATGGACATTTTACAATTGGTTTATAACTGGACAGCTGGGACTACATGTATTCTACCTGCAGTTGAAGAACAATTTTGGCTTTCCATTAGAGTACCAGTGCCCCGGTTGCGACGGATGCACACGCCAATCAACGGTTGAAAAGAAACGGCGAATTTCACTGAAGGTTCACTTTACACCCGCGGGATGTAGTTGCAATCACCTGGGTTATGCAATGCACCAAACGTATTATTGGCGCCTATTGTCGGCCACAAATCGTCGCCCGGTGATTAGAAACTGTAACAGTTGCGATGTGAGAGAATCTGGTCTTCTTCGGCAACTTTCTTCATCCCGCCAGGAATTCAACCTCCTTCGGCAATTCAGGATTGTCTGTATCTATAGTACTTGTTAAATATATTCCTATAGATCTCTCTGCAAAAAGCCGCCGTCATGGACAAGGCTGACAGGTACGTCGATCGGAATTGAATGCTAACGTAATCAGACCTAATGAACGCGCGCCGGGGGAACGGTGCGGAAGGCGCCAACAATGTAAATCACCGGCGGACCCACGACGTGGCATGGCTACAACTACCAAACTGTCGGGACCGGATCGGAGCGGAGACTTCTCGGTAATCTCTCCAGAAAGGGTTATTATGGCTTCTTTCCAAAAATGAGTGGTAGATTGCCTCATCCGCATTTCATGTTCATGGATGCTGCGGACTCCTCATGCTTGCGTAATGCGTCGGGCATTTGATGGCTTTGGGAGTCGTGCGCGATGAACCACAAAAGTCCCCGGACTTGTTGGGATTCAGCCAACCTACTTTGAGCGGAGCTTTACAGCCATTTCCCTCCTTCTGTAGGTATTCTCCGCTGATTTTCGGCGGAGGCTTGGCATACATATCTTTTTTGTTCACAAAGTCGCCGTCGCTTCCCGCCGAGTTGAACCTGATGTACATTCCGACCGTTCTGAATGCAATACCGCCGTATCTCCGCCCACCGTGTGCGCCTCAACAGAAGCGACGGCCCACCGGAATGAGAGAAAGAGCCCGCTTGCAGTGGCCGACCGGAGCGGACAGGCTGGCATCCGCAATGGCGTGTGTTATCCAACCTACGACTGCTGGTGACTCTCCATGACCGCTAGCTTGCGGTATATCCCATTTTCTCTGCTGGCTGACTGCTACAGGATACCCAATTATATAAAAGAGGAGCATGTCTCTCACGAAGACTCTCTCAGCCATTTCTCAGAGTAAGCCCACTTGCCCACCTCCCTGCATTGCTTAAAGATCGGCAGCATGAGTCCTATACTGTATCAAGACACCCTGCCTGCAACTTCATCGGCCAAGGCCAACTCCAGTGAATCCACTGCTCGCCCTCCGGTCCCAGCTAGCGATGACAACCTCATCCTACCCGTCGAGACCCAGAACCTCATCGAGTCCGAGGTGCAGAATCTGAAGCATGCGACTCACATTCGTTTCAACCCAAGACGCTTTCTTGGTTTGAGCGAACCTGAGATTGAAGAGAGTATCCGTCAACTGAGGAAAGACTTTGACTCTCTTCCCACTGATAACTTTGTTCCCAGCAACTGGAGCCGGTATCGAACCTACTCGCGCGCCATTGTTCTTCCTTGGGAGAAGCCAATGCGTGTCCGGTATCTGCCGCCCTACCTTGACGAGAACGGCAACGAGGAGGTTCCGTATAATCAAGGTTCCGTACCAGTTGGAAGTTGGGGCTTGTCGTTTGCCATTTATGTAGCTAAAACCAATTTGCTGCTCTTCTCTGACACGCAACAGGCGCATTCAATGTGGACTGCAGCAACGTCCGTCGCTGGTACAGCCCCATCACAGAGTCCATTAGGAACCTCCCTCTCCTCAATCGAATGATTCTAATGGATATTGCCCTCTGTGACTGGTCAGAGGACGAGCTTCGCCACCCGATCTTGGTCGGAATCCACTTTGTCAAGACGGCTCCAAACCCATCTTGGCCAGTGGGCATCAACACTCCGAACGCCCTGCACCAGGACGGCCACAAGTTTTCGTTCGTCCACATGGTTCGCAGAAAAAATGCGGCAGGTGGCGAGAATGTTGTCGCCAAACCAGAGCACGCCGACAAGCACCCCTCCACGGTTCCGGCCAATGACATTTTCACCACGTTTACGTTGGAAGAACCTCTCGATAGCTTTGCGGTCTATGACGACAAATGCACCCACTATGCAGGTATCGTTCGGTGTTGTGTACAGAGGTATTTTCTCAAGGAAAGAACGTGCGCTCATGTTGAATGGGTCGGTTCATTCAAAGGTGCCGTTTTGCAAGCCGAGCCCGGAGACAAGCCCACCGAGCGCAGCGTTTTCATTTTGGATGTCGAGCCCATGGTCGCTGCGGTCTGCCCAATCTAGTATTCTTTTCCCAAGTCCTCTTTGAATTCGTTTTGGTTGTTTAAAATCCGTTTTGTCCATAGATCTCTTGTATCTTGTATCATCAAAGTATTTCCATAAAACAAATAGACATTATGTCGCACGATCTTACAAGAGCCCTTGCTCTAGAGAAGTGCCTCATCATCAAACGTCACCGCCTTCATATACATTTTTGAGTTATTTCGTTTTGCTTGCGGCCGAAGGATACCATTTCACCTCTCACTTCGCAATCGTCGCATGCTAACGGCAGAGCAAACATTCAAGTTTAGTTGTTTCCTACTTTTCACACTCTATTTGTCGTGACTAGCCGAGCCCTATGTCAAGTTAATAACTTGGCACCTTGTTTTTAGCTGGTTTGCGACTTTTAAATCACCATAATGGTTCTATTAAGGTGCCTATTAAGGTGCCTTGCAAAGTCAGCATAACTGCACTAAAGTACACTCTGCTCTGCTGTTACTGTCCGCCGTTGTGGTCAGGCAACCATTTTCCGAATGATAATATCATAGTTTCTCCAGTCCATTGACGAACAAAGCAATGCTTCAAGCCGTCTCCGCTGGCTCGGCCCTGTATTTGGAATCGGTGCTGGGCAACTATCCCCTCGGCTCTGTGCGCCAGTCGAGCAAACTACTGCGCTCACGTCTTCTCTAGTGGGAACGAAACCAGTAGAACAGGACAGAAGGCTGACTTCAGATCATCAAGAAAGTCATCTACAAGATAACAGCCGTCTTTTTAGCACCTCATTTGGTACTGTGGAGTCATGGCAAGGTGTCTGCCTGCCTTTAAACGTGCCTCCAAAGTCAGCTTAAAGTCGTTATCAGCCATCTTTCTGGCACCTCGTTTTTAATTGGTTTGGGGACTTTTGACTGAAGAGAAGGTGTCTTGAGCCTTCAAAGCCGGGTTACCCTTCGGGCCAAGTCCATGAAAAAAAGCGGATGGTTTGGCTGTTGCCACTTTTTCGGTCATGTCTTTGGGGCTGGTGCAGGGAAAGCAATCCCTCGTCTCTATGGTCCAGTCAATCCCCCGCCTCCATCGAACGTTTGTGTGTGCAGAGATATGATGACACCCTTCCTGTACGCCATTGCGGTGCTACCGGTGATTCTTTTGGATTTGAGTGTTGTTGCTTGCACCGAGATTAGACTCGCGGGAGCTGGAGACTTCACTCTATAGCCAAAAGAGGTGGTGTTTGTCTCCATTGAAGGGAAGGAAGCTGGATGTAGTTATGCTACTATTCCGATTGAGGCTTAACAGTTTCTTTTTCAAACGCAGTTCATAGATACATAAATATCTAAACAGTCTTGGTACCCCGTCACAGGCCTATAGAGTCTATATCATGTGAAAAGTTCTACCTAATTCTATGGTATCTGCCAGAAAACGTAAAGGGAAGTATCCTTTTCCTACTGCTATCTATTGCTGTCCAGAATTATGCACGAGCCCAAAGAAATGGGAGGTAGAATCCGCCAATAAGTCACCGGGAGCGCCAATCTCGACCACACGGCCAGCATCCATGACGATGATCTTGTCGTAAGACATGATCGTGTTCACCCCTGCGTGGGACGGGATAGAACGATGAGAAATGTTACTGAAAACAAATCTTTGTCAGGGAGAATACATACGATGAGCAATCGTGACCACGGTGCAGTCTCCAAACTCGGTTTTCAAGGTTTCTTGTATGAGGGCGTCTGTGTCGTTGTCGACGGATGCGGTAGCTTCGTCGAGTATGATGACTTTGGAGTTGCGCAGGATTGCACGGGTCAGGCAAACAAGTTGCTTTTGTCCCACCGAGAAATTGTCGCCGGCTACCCTCATTTGTAGAAAAAGTGTAACTGGATGAGGGCCCATTTCATTCCTGGCTAGCCAGTACGGCTCGGACATTACATTACCTTCAGTAACAGTGGCATCCAACCCTCCATCCATTTCCTTCACCAGAGATTTCAATCCCACTTTCTCCAGGGCGGACCACAGCTCCTGATCGGTGGCTTTGCTGAATGGGTTGAGATTTTCCCGCAGGGTGCCGGTAAACATGAACGCTTCTTGTGGAATGATGGACAAGCGTTCGCGAAGAGTCGCCAAATCCACGCTGGCAATGTCAACGTCATCAATCTTTATGAAGCCATCCGTACCCTCAACATCAGCTTGATTGAAATCGGACTTTGATATCTCGACCATACGTAGCAGAGCAAGGGCTAGGGAAGACTTTCCTGCTCCAGTACGACCAACTAAAAGAAATGGAAGAGGAAAAAGTTATTGATAATGTAGACGTAAGCTGGACTGCTACCTGAAACTTGCTTATACATACCAATCCCCACTTTCTGTCCACCGTCAATAGCAAATGTGAGGTTCTTCAAAACGAGGTCCATGCCCTCCCGGTAACGCATATTGACATTCTGGAACTCAATTCTGCCGTTTTGGGGCCACTCTTTGAGATCGCGTTGCGATTGAACGTCCTTTTCCAGTGGAAGGCTGAGATATTGTTTGAGCCGCTCCGCGTCCACCAGCTGTGTTTGCAGGTAGCCAAGTTTGGTCATCATGAGCGCAACCTCCTGCATAATGGCGAGGATCGTCGATACGGCAAGAGCAACAGTCGAGGGGGAGAGCCGTTCGACGGAAACAACGGCAAAGACAGCGCTCGCGAAGACAACCAATGTTGCTGGTGGAGAACGAGAGAAATGGTAAGTCACCTACCTCTGAACCGGAGCCTACCGACGGCGACACTTACAGACGATGGTGATCCAAAGGGAGAACCACCTGTTCGCGTAGTAGAACATGATCAAGGCCGCCTGCTGCCGGTCCATGTTGAGAGCATTCTGCTCGGAAT